ATCGCTAACGGTTACTTTTTTACCGATTTTGACGGTTGACGGTTGCACTTTAGAACTTTTGACGGTTGAAGTTTGTTAGGAAGAAATTTTATCGGTGACTTTGAACTGACAATAATTTTTGTGTTTTTCTTTCATTAGCATTCCACTCAAATACGATGGGCTTCTTTCATGGGTATTCGTGCGCCGCATTCCTCGAATGTTAGAGAAAAAGGTCTGTCTGTCATTAAATATCGGCTTGAGGTTTCTACAGAACGGACCGAGCACTGGGAAGTTCGAACAAAACAGACTGAGAGATGCTGTTCTCCCAGATTAGCTTGATTCACAAAAGATTGACTTCCAAACACTTTGAAGACCCAAAACTTGGGCATTAAACAAGAATCTGGATCTTTGGCTTTCTATAACAGTTTATAATAGCGGAATTGTGAATGAATTATTCCCACAATAGAAAAGGTGCTTGCTTACCTAGTCTTTTTAAGAAAGTCAAGACAGAAGATGACAATCTTACGCGCGTTTGCAAAGTGCTCTTTGTAGTGAAGCAAGTTTGTCGAGCACGGCCAAAATTACTCTATCAACTTTCGACGGCCAAGATTGGTTAAATACTTTAATTCTTCCAACCAATTAAAGCAGTTACAATAGATGTTTCCGTTTAACCCTCAGTTTCCATACTTTCAGGTTCTCGCATAACTTGTGAGATCTTCCGTTCAAGTTTCCTCTTTTCAACTATAGAACAAAAAAAAGGTAATCATCCTACATACTTAAAACGACGACAAACACAGTTACACTTCACTTGGTTTCCGTTACGTTTTTTCATTAGCGTCTGAGGATTGTGGGCACCAGTGTTCCAGTGTTTATTTTAATTTTTCCCATGAAGACTTCATTAAGCGGGAGAGAAATTCAGCACTACGCTAATCTCGTGTAGATTTTCGACTAAAAATTCTAAAATTTCTAAAAATTATGTGACGTATTTGTATTTCCATGCAGTGAATGAGAAAGGAATGACATTTCTGACCTGGTGGGCCAATCAGGGTGATTCCTTGCTTTATTTCCTTTATCTCAGCCTCTTCTGTGACTTTCTTATCAGGTTTCAGCCTTATAAAATACCAATACGTAAGTAGATGGTCAAAATAAACAAGTAAAGCGGCTTAATGAAAAAGAACTGCTGTCTATGTTTGTGTTGATTAATGCTATACTTAAATTAGTTCACTTATCTATTTCTATTTCCATATCTCTATATCTATACCTACATCTCTAATTTTAGATCAAACTAACTACATTTCTAACTAACTTCTTTGGTACATAGCACAAAAAGTAGAGCCAGCCGTTGTATAATCGACGGGACTACACACGTCCCTCTCAAAGTTGACTGCATCTTTCTCGCCTTGAGTGCTATCACTAAATTGAATCGCACTTTTTGCACTGTCTGAAAACATGATTAGTGAACATTTTTGTAAACGTTGTCAAGATCGTTGACCAACAAAAGCCAATCAATTATGTTATCTGGAACTGCAAATTTGTTCAAGAAGATCAAAAGAAATCTCCAATTAGCAAGATTTTCGCGCTACACGGTAAGTGGAAGTTGATGAAAACAGTTCGAGTAACATAAAAATATTCAAAGCGAAATTCCACCAAAAGCACCACAATAGGGAAAACTTTTCAGGTCTTCAGAGGAGTGGCTAATGGTGTACCTTTTAATTGTGTCACGTTACAGTACTTATGATGCTTCGAAGTTCACTCTTCTAACAAAAAGGAACCCATGTGACACTAACTTCATTCAGCAAACTTTCTTGTTTGAAAGATCTAAAAAACGTTAGTAATTTTCATAAGAACTTCATCTGTGATGCAAACACTCTTACTGTCACTTAAAACACTTCATTAGAACAAACCTGTTTACGATATGAAGATCTTGCCTCTTGTTTCTGATTTCTTCTATTCGCTTTATGGCTCTCACTAAATAAATACAGATACATGTGGAGTCTCTCACTGAATCAAAATTTGAAAAGATTTAAGAGTAATAGTCTGTAACTTTCGAACTTTTTAAAAAAATTGCGGCCACTTAACCTTACCGATTTGGCTGAAATT